TTTCAGTGTGTGTGTGTGTGTGTGTGTGTGTGTGTGTAACCTATTATGGGGTGAGGTGAAGTTGTTTGGTTCTGTTACTTGTGTGTATCTTTGTGGTCTGGTTTTTGTTTTGTTTGTCATCAATCCTTTCTCGGAGTCACCTGTCTCCACATGACCTAATCACCCCTGAACCTCCAAGAGCTATAACTAGTGGGCAAGAAGTTACCCATTTCAAAGCCATTTGATCAACAGAGAGACACAAATATAAAAACACTATGTCTTGGAAATATCAGACAATCTCAGTACATATAAAAAAGCAGGAAAAAATCTTGGAACTGCTGATGAGGGAGTTCAAAATAATGATGTTCAGTTGCCGTCCATGGCTGGAGGAAAAGATTGAGAGAGCTACAGAAAAAAAAGAGAAGAGAAAACAGAAGAACTTGGGAAAATACTGCAGAGCAATCTGACAAAGCAATTGAAAAATTAGAAACTATGCACCTTGTAATAGAATTCCAAAAGCTTAATCCTAAGATATTAGAACTTGAAAACATTTTTGAAGCCGTAGAATGTAAATAATAGAAGTCCAAATTAGTGATCTTGAAGACAAATTTCTCAAGAATAAGTTATGAGAAGAACAATTTGTAAAAAGGATTTAAAAATCAAGAAAGCCTAATAATTATAAATAATAATTATCAAGAGGAATAACTTATGTTTGATAAACATTCCAGAAGAAGACATGATGTAGAATAAAAAAGCATAAAGAAAATAGTCTAAGAAATGCTAGAAAAAATATTTCCTAACACCGTGACAGAGGAGAAAATAACCATTCCAGAGTTGGAACGAACCTGAAACAGGATTGACCCTAAAAGAGAAACACCAACAAATAAATATCATAGTCAAATTTTCCAAAAGAAAATGAAAGAATACCGAGAGCAACTTGGGGAAAAAAACCAAAACAAAAAAACTTACCTATAAAGGAGAACCAGTAAGAATAAATTCTGATTTTCCAACAGAAACCATGCAGCGAACAAAGCAAGGGAATGACACATGTAAAACTCCGAAAGGGAAGAACAAAAATGCCCACAAAGAAACTTATACTCAGAAAAACTAGCTTTCCAATCCAAGGGAGAAATAAGGACATTTTCAAACAAGGAAAAATTAAAGAAATTTGTACAAGCAAAACCTTAGCAAAAAAACCCTAGGGATTTCATTGGACAAAGAACCAACAGCAGTAAGCCATAACCTGGAATCAATATACATGACACCCCCATCAAGAAGCCAACCCATTCAAGCAGTATACAAAGGAAAACAGACTTAGGAAACTGAAAATAGGGAACCAGAGATGACGTTCCTCAATGAAGACAGCCACAAAATAATAGAGGAAGTACAGTAGATATAAAACAATCGGTCAGAGAAGTCAAGTGGTTCACAAGAGAGAACAAACTGTCTTACATTTAGATATAAAATAATTTAAAAAGCTGACCTCAAAGAAAATGCGAAAACCTTATCCAAAAAAAAAAGAGGAAAATCACAAAAAAACGAGTAAACAGTCAAATAAAAACAAAGAAAAAAATGAGAAAATCCACAAAATTAACTCAGCACAGAAAAGTATGATCACCCAATAACACCTCAAAAAAATATGAAGCAAAATGACAGCATTAAATCATCCCTTTCAATAACAGCATTGAATGTAAATGATTAACCCACCAGTCAAGAGACAGATGAACAGAATAGATAAGAAAACCCAAACCAAGCTCACTGCTGTCAGGTCAATGGAGAGAAACAAGCCTTAGACACAAAGGCAGCTTAAAAAGTAGACTAAAAGGCAAAGAACTGGACAAAGTAGATCAAGCTACTGATGGTTTGTTCTAGTTTGTACTATTTTCCTTTTTTTCCCACTGAAACTTTTCTCTATCTGTGCTTGTTGTTGTGTTAGTTTGTTTTGTTTATAATGTTTTTCTGTTTATGAAATGCAGCAAAGGTGAATCTATAGTGACAGTGATGGCGTTATTGGCTCATCGAGCGGAAGCCAGGGGAGTGTGGAGGAAATAGGGGGCTAAAACAACAAGTACAAGAAGTGGAAACGTTCTAAAATTGACTGTGGTGATAATTGTACAAGTCTTTTAAATCTAATTGAACAGTTGAATTGTACGGTTTGTGAATTACAAGCCAATAAAACAGGTTTGTTAAAAAGCAGGAGGGAAAATTCTGTTTTCTGGTACAATAGACTCCAAAATGAAAGTCATCATGAGAGACATTGTATAATGATTAAAGCCACAACTGAACAAGAAAACATAATCATAATTAATATCTGCATAATGAAAAAGATTCCAAAATCCATTAATCAAACCCTCATAGAGTTGAAAAGAGAACTAGACAATACTATGTAATAATCGTAAGGTACTTCAATATACCACTCTAAATGAAGGCCAGATTAACTGGGGGGAAATAAAACCAGAAAAACTAAATAATACAATTAATCAACTAAACCTTTTAAACATACACAGAACACTCCATCCATACTTAAAGACATTATGCTGAGAAAAACTAGAGGACAAATATTCTATGACTTTTATAAAAAGACAAGGAAGGCAAATGTACAGCGACCATAGCTTATTAATGGTTCCCAGGCATTGAGGTGGGGTGGGGAGGGAGGATTAACGGTAATATAAAATTCATATTGAATTAAGGGTAGGATTGTGCAGTTTATCATTGTAACTGTTAGTAAGTTGTAGTTCTCTCCTCAACTGTAAAAAGTTGAATTAGCAAAAGTTATTTAGTTGATATATTAACCAACTAACCATAATTGCATCAAAAATAGTGGTGGCTAAGGATGTTTGTATATAACCCAACAGCTCATGGGATTTGATTCATGGTTCCATTGGAACATAAAGTGGGCCTGAAACCATGTGTAGGCTTCTTTCTGTTCCACCTCTTAGTTCAGTGAGTGATGGCTAGAGTCTTAAAATTCTTGCAAGCAGCCATCCAAGGTACAATAATTGTCCCCTAGTCACCTGGAGCAATGGAGGCAAAAAGAACGTCAGAATTAAGAAGAGCCTGTGGAGTGTGGAATTAAAAGTTTAGTCAAAATATGGGCAGATCCCTAAGTAAACAATAGCACTAGGGATGTACACACTGCTTAGGAAAATTAACCAATCTTGATCGAATGGGCAGCATTTACCCAAGGACAAATTTCAGAAAGCAGGAAGGGTTAGGAAAGAAAGATGGATTGAGAAATACAGGGTAGAAGTGGGATGAGAATTGTTAAATTGTAGGGGTTGCAATCAATTACATGGGGGTTGGGGGGAGACAAGTGAATTATTGAACTGAAAACTAATTAATTCGCTCTGCAAACTTCACCCAATTCACAATAAAAGTTGCCCCCCACCCCAAAGGAAAAAAATCAAAGAATATATTGTATTGGGCCCATCGCATTTAAAATTTTAATTTAAAATTTAAATTTGAAGACTAATGTGCACCTTAACCAACGCACTTTCAACTGCCTCAAATGAACATAAAAGCTGGACAATGAGTAAGGAAGATCAAAGAATTGGTGACTTTATGCCGTTGGTAAATAATATTGAAATATGTTGAGATGAGCCAGTCAGGGTTCAGTGTAGCACCAATGAAAGATACAACTCTCCGCTAGTTCTTTAATGCTTCCTCTCCCTCCTCCCCTCACTATCCTGATCCCAATTTTACCTTACAAATCCAGCTAGACCAGAGCATGTACACAGATACCGATAAGAGCTGGGAACACAGGGAATCCAGGACAGATAAACCCCTCAGGACCAATAAGTAGAGTAGCAATACCAGGAGAGTAAGGGGAAGGTGGAGCGAGAAAGGGGGAACAGATCGCAAGGATGGGTGTATGGCCTGTGATGGGAATTGTATGAGCCCTCAATAAAATAATTTTTTTTTAAAGGTGATGGAAAAATTCCATTAACTTTCCCCCCCCATTAACTTTTAATTCCATTTTGTTTCCCCCAAAATTTGAAGACCCCTTGAATAAAGAAAGGAACCATAAAAAAAGGGGGGGCACGGATCACAATGTTCAACACATAAGCCCCCCCACCCCCATCCTGAGGGGGATGAACAATAGAAACATGGATGAGGGGAGACAGCGGATGCTATAAAATATGAAAATAATAATAATTTATAATTTATCAAAAATTTACAAGGGGGGGAGGGGAGCTGATACCAAGGGCTTCAGTAGAAAGAAAATACTTTGAAAATGATGATGGCAACATATGCACAAATGTAACTGATATAATTGCTGTCTGGATTGTTGTAAGAGCCCCAATAAAATGATTTAAAATTTAAAAAAAAGCCCTACGGCATGGTACCCCTCTTTGAATATTACTGTTTAAAAAGTGGTGTATTGAAGATAAGATTATGATTTGATTTTTCTTTTTTTAATAGAAAATATTTTCCTCCTTAATATGAATGTATAAATAACAAGACATTGGAAACAGCCCAAATACCCATCAGTAGAAGAATGGATAACACAAATTTGGTACACACACAATGGAATTACTGTGCATCACTAAAATGACAGTGATGAAACCACAAAACACCTCCCTTTAGAAGAGTTTGTTCAGTGAAGTTTGTCCATGACAAAATTCAAAATTTTATCCTACTACTAGAAGGATAAAAACCATGACGAAGCCTTGTTTACCCAAGGATAAGGGTGGGAAGATGGAGCCACAGACTAGAAGGCTGACAGGTATTGACGGAGTGAAAAGGGGCATGGAGTTCCACAAATGCAGAAGAAGGATCAGACGAGGGAGGGTGAGTGGGGTCGGAGACAGCGGGCAGGTGGTAATGCGTCGTTTGAATGCAGAGCTAGTCGTCTGAAATGTGAACCCTTCCCCACTTACTTCACAACTTAAAACATCTTATAAATACATAAGATGAATGTGCCTTACTTTTCTGATCGGAACCCTCGCTTGGGGGATGACTGCTCCAGTGGCTGGTGTGTCCAGTACAAAGAGACGTGCAAGTCTCAGAAGACAACTTACCTCAAAGGAGTACTCTTTACCAATTCCATCTCCTGCTCCAGTGATCACTGCAAAGATCACAAGTGGTTTTCAGTGATAGAAGGACTCTTTAAACCTTTCTTTCCCACTGCTTACATTTTCCTGCAAACGTTAGACCCTTGGCCATGAAGTATCTCCAAACGGCACCCTTCTGCGCTCCTGTTTCATTCAACTGAAGAGTGGAGTTACCAGGACTTGACTCACTCTCACTTAAGTTTTAAAATGGAGCATTTGGGGAGGCAGTGGGGAGGCCAGGAAGGTCACTGGGTGCTGCAAACCATTTGAGCTGGATTGTGAACTAAAAGTGGGGCGATTTGCACCCACTTTGGCTTGACGAACATGGCCTCCTCAAGTATCAGAATCTGCTCCACAGCAGTGGATGTAAGGCTTGGTTTCTGTTCCGGTGGATCAGTGGAAAAGATATTCCCAAATGAAACAAAGTCCTTTTTTCTTTTTTTTGAAACAAAGTTCTTACAAGGAACATCTTATTCAGCCTCTGTAAGAATTCAGACATTTGCAACTCTTAACTATTAAGGGCAAGCAGTATACCCAGTTATCTCTGTCCCTGCCCGCCCTGTCGTGGTTTCTTCCCAGGTTTCTCCTACACGCCAAATCTTCCCCTCACTTGCCACCGCTACCGCTACAGCTCCGCAGCTAGCATCGTCTATAGGTGAGAGGAGAACTGAGCTAAGAGGAAACTTGAGGGATGCAAAGCGTAAATACGGGAAAATGAAGGAATGTGGAGAATGATGCTCAATATCTCTTAATGTTTAACAATCAAAGCAGTCTTCTAGTCCGTTAACATCCGGTGTTACACACATATTTAATCATCGATCTCTAGAATAAGCCTCCTATGTGTGAGTGGTGCATTTTCAAAATTCACTGCTGTTGTCCATTGCCACTGGGCTGGTTCCAGCTCACAGTGGCCTGCTTTGTGCGGTCCGGCGGTGCTCCGTAGTTTTAACGCCTATGACCGCTCCGAAGCAAAGGGCCGGGCCTACTTGATGAGGCCGCCAAACCACCACACTTTGAGCGAGTCGACAAGTGCTGAACGATTATCCCACCAACGGACTTCAAACATCATTACAGTTCACTATACACGTACTGCACCAACTTACTGCGCTACATACCTTTGCACCAACAATTACTGGGTATGTTTTTAAAAGTGTGACCAAAAGAGGTAGTTGGCTTATTTGAGAGTGAGTGCAGCCAAAGCAGTGCGTGCACCGAACAGAAGTATGGCAGAAGAGCCCCAGTTATAATGCATGCTGATGATTGTAGCTGTTTGATGTCTCTGGTCCTGATGGCTGAGGGATTATGTTCAGGTGTAACTTCCAGTTTACCTTCCCTCCATTAGGGGCAATCTTCAAAGTCACTCTATATGTGATGGATTCACTTGCGTTCCTCCAAAATAAGCAGTGTAAATCCTAACCCCTAAATCTGTGGTTATAACCCTATTTGGGACTAGATTTTGTCTGCAGCCCTCCTAACTGTGAAAGAATCGGTTTTTGTTTGTTAGAACCACCCATTTGTGGTGTTTCTATTATAGCAGCATTGGACTGCTAACTGAGAGATCGGTGGTTTGAATTCACCAGCCACCTCTTGAGAGAAAGATGAGGCAGTCTGCTTCTGTAAAGATTTGTAGCCTCAGAAAATGTCTGGAGCACTTATACTCTGTCCTGTGGGGTCACTGTGAGTCAGAATAAACAGTCTAGTGTCACGGTTGCAAGGTCCAAAACCAAAGCCAAACTCACCACCATCAAGTCAATTCAGACTCAGGGCAATTTCAAAGGGCACCCCAGTTATACGACCTAATGACATGTTTTGGACTGTTCTATTTTACCTTCTAATTTGATATATAGAACCTGGAGCCTTGCAAGCTTGCAAGCAACCATACACAATACAACAGTGGGTCTCTGTTTGCCTGGAATAACACAAAAAGGAGAATCAGACCTAGGTGGAAGATATGAGGAACGTGTTGTCAATTAACCCCAGGACAATCTATCTCCTTTGTCATGATAACAGAAAGCTGGTGCTGGCCTACTATTAAGGAACATTTTGATCAACAATTCCATAGAAGAATCTCCATCAAAAGGGGGAAATGCAGAACAGAATTTAGAGTTTTCATAGACTTCATACTTTCTGAAGCCATGCAGACTAGATGAAACCTTGAAACTATTACTCTGAGATAATCTTGAAAGGTTATTGAAAAAAATGTGTGTGTAAAGCGGGATGAAATTTCAGTGTTTACCATAAGTGCTATTTTTCAGAGCTAGAACTCTGATTGTGAACCTCAATTTTTCAGAGTATAGGTTGTACATAAGTTAAACATTCTTAACCCGGGAGTGTCGGTATACATAAACACACACACATGCATATACCAATGTAAATATAACAAACCACAGTTAAGTTTCATTTTTATTTCAAATGATTATCTTATGATTATATATGTGTGTGTTTATTTCCCTTTTCTAGGTTTGTAAGGAATCAAGTGAACTTCACAAATGAACAAAATGCCTAGCTCTCTGCCATCAAGTCATAGTGAACAAAGCCACTCAAATATATAAAATGATCTTTGACAGAGAGCAAAATCACCTCACAGAGAAAGGGTAGTCTTCAACAAACGATGCTAGAACAATTAGACATCCACCTACAAAAACAAAAATTTTTAAAAACCAGAAACGAGTCTGGGGTCTTACAGCATTCACAAAAATTAACTCAGACTGCAATATAGACCTAAACCTAAGAAACAAAATGATTCCGCTTCCAGAAGACAACATAGGAAAAAACCTAGACAGCCTTGGGTTTGACAGTGACTTTTAGAAACAACTGCAAAACATGATCCATATAAGAGATAAGATGCCAAGTTCAATTTTCATTTCAGATAAACAACTATTTTTAACATGTTTCCCATATGAGATATGATATGCTAGAATTTATTTGTTGTTAGGTGGAATTTGGAGGTCCCTGAGTGGTGCAAATGATTTGCACTCAACTATTATGTGTCTCTATGAGTCAGAAATAACTCAATGGCACAAGACAGCACTAACCTAGCAGTTGATGGTTCAAACCCACCCAGCCATAGATAGACCCGGAGAACTCCATGGTGTTGTTTTACTAAATTCTGTTACCATGAGACAAAATCAACTTGATAACAAGTTTTGGATTTTGGTTTTAAAGTCTTATACAAGGGCCTCCAAAAAGTTCATGGAAAAATTCCATTATCTTTTCATTTTATTTTTCCATGAACTCTTTGAAGTCCTCTCCTATTTTCTTAGGCTCTCTATAAGATTGTATATCATCTCTCCTACTTAGGTTAGGATATTATTTCTAAAGTAGCTTAAATTTAATTATTTTTAAACATTGGATTTTTTGGTGCCCAGCCTGCAAGCATTAGCCCCTACAGGGACCACAGGACATCAATCAAGAAAATTCCAAAACCCTCACCCACTTCACCTCAGGTTTAGTCATGATTCCAAGTACATCTTCGTTGCCTTCTTTCGCTATATAACACGATTTGAAGTGTATTTTGGAAAAACAAAGTTAACTTAAAATAAATAAACTTATTTATATTTGAGAATTTTGAAATACCAAAAACCAAAATGGGACACACCCTAGTGTCCAGAGAACCCCTTAACCCCAATGATTCAACAGCCCCTGGAGCAAAGGCCCCCAAACCTCTCCGCAAGGGACCAGACCACAACCCACAAAAGACCAGCTGCCCTGTGTCTTCACCCTTGGCACAGGCCTCCTCCGGGCACCAGGACCTTCCTCCCACGAGCTCTGGGATGCTGAGGACAGAGTCCCTAGTGGGAGGGCCCAGAGCCACAGGAAGCACTGAAAGATAGCCACAATGAAGAAAGAGACAGACAGACAGACAGACAGACAGACAGACAGACAACACCCTGGAGTTTGTAAAGTTGCAGAGATCCCTACTTCTTTCTCTGTATCTTCAGAAAGGAGAAGCCTCCTAGTGAGGGTTAGAAGGCAAGTGTATAGGAGACATTTGAGGCAAGTTATTCTCCTTATGCCCCACATCTTATTTCCTTCACCATTCGACTTTTCCTCATGTTCTCTAGTCCTTCAAACTAAAACCCTCCAAGAAAATGAAATCTTTACTCTCAATGAAGCAATGAGCCAGAAATACTGAACAACCAGAAACAGAACACTTTCTTTACCTGCCCACTGTCCCATTGACTGCAAGTAAGACCTTGGTGAAGGTTTCCAAAAGTGCAGAAAAACATATTGGGCGAATCTCACACATTTCACCAGGGAGATCAGGCACACCAGCACCCCAACAAAACTGAAGAACTGCTCCAGAGCCTCCATGCCTGCACTGCCGTGGAGAGATGCTCTTTCCCACCGAGACCAGGCCTCCTCTCACAGGCCTCCCTCTGAGGTCCTGCTGTTCGGAGACCTATCTAATCATTCCTCTCAAGTCACTGGGAACATTACAGCTGGGGCAGTGCAGATTAAATTAACTTCTTTATACAATCCTCCGATTCACAGACTTGTGAAGGAAGTGTTCTTTCTAAGACTCCTTATAATATTCTATAAGACTGTTGGAGATATTGTCACTGTGGAGGAGCTGCCGAAAAAGCAAAAGGCAAAAATGAAAAAGATAAGCAAAACCTGAACAAAACAAAAAAAAAGATAGCCCAACTGCCCTTTCTCAGAATACAGAAATTGCAAAGGACTCCAAATCCATGGCATTGACTCATTCAATTCATGTTTATTGAGCACTTACTAAAGAGCCTTGATGGTTATACTGTTGATGGGATTGAGGATCTCATAGGAAGCAAAAGAGGCTCCCTGTTGTGCTAGCAGAGATAGTGCTACAGAAAAGACAGATAATAATAAACAATAAGTAATGTCAGATATAAATGCTATGAAGTACAGAGCTGTTGAGTGATTGGTTTTGATGACTAGTTACCAAGTATCAGGAATGGTTTATTTGAAGGGGTAGCATATTGAGCTGGAAACTGAATGAAAAGTCTGTAGAGAGAGGATCCAAAACAAACAAACCCCCCAAAAAATTTTTTGTTGAGAAATGTCAGAGCAGAGACCAAAACCCCACCTATAGACAATGGGACATCCCCTCACAGAAGGGTCACAAGGAACGGATGAGTCAACCAGGGCGCAGTATAGCACCAATGAAACACATTATTCCTCTGGTTCCTTGAGGCTTCCTCACCCCCCACTCTCATGACCCCAGT